TCCTATGGAGGCAATTCCCCAATTGTTCCCTCAACCAAGATGTGTCAAGTTGACACTAAAGCTATCCAGCAAAATTGACCACTCGTCAACTTGAAACACAAACACATCACTATTAAACCATAACCTTTCCAATTCTTATCTCCAAGATATGATGTAAATATCAGAACATAAGACAACCTTAAAATCCCCACAGTCCTTAAAAAATCCAAACACTTAAAAATCCACAATCTCTTAATAGTCTTTTAACTGTGGGTGGGCTTCTATAAAATCCAGAACAAGTACTGTCTTATTTCAAAGGGAAGAATCAGGCACACCTAAGCAAAACCAAAGTCCAGCAAAGTAGCTTGAGGCTGGACATCTGGGATTCACTCACGATCTTCTGGCTCCAAAGGGTTCTGGCAGCTCCACTGCTCTGACTCTGCAGTCTATAGCACACTCAGCTCATCTCACAGACCCAGGCCAGCTCCGTTCCACACCTACTGCTGTCCTTGGTGGTCATCCCATGGTCCCGGCATCTCCAAAAAGCTGGGGTTGCCTCCGAAACTGAGGCTACACCTTCACCAATGGCCTCTTCTTGCCTCTGGGGTGCAAAGCCTCAGATTCTCTCCATGACCCCTTCAATTCTGGGGTCTTCACTGTTACTGAAGCTGCACTTTCACCTATGGCCTTTCCTGGCCTCTTAGAGTGCCAAGCCTCAGCTGCTCTCTGTGACCCCTTCACGCTTTCGACACCAGAACCATGCAGGAGACTCTTACACATTACCAAGTCCTGCTTCCAGCTTGAAATAGAGGTGCGGGTCCCCTGTGTGCTGACTCTGAGGAAATACCTCCCAGAAGACTTCACAACAGTGATGCTGGTCTCTTGTTACAGCTGACTTTTCAGCTCCAGCCAACCAGCATCAATTGTCCCAGGAAAGCAAAGGTTTAACTTCAGGTTCTGTTCTCTTAGTCACAGCTGATTCTTCAGCCCCAGCTGACCAGAACCCACAGATTCTCAGTTCAAATATCACAGAAACAGCCCTGATAGTCTCCACTTCCCTTTGAAGCTTCACAGGCCAGGCCTCCATTGTCTACAACTCTTTCAGCATAACTTTTCCAAGCTCCACAGCAACAAACTGAGTGCGCGATAGCTTTTCCAGCCCAAAGTTCCAAACACTTCTACGGTCCTCCCCAAAACACCAAGGTCAGGTCTGTCACTACAATACCCTACTCCTCATCCCACTCTCTGGTACCAATTTCTGTCCTGGTTTGTTCTCCATTGCTGTGACAAAATACTCTGACCACTACCAACTTGGGGAGGAAGGGTTTATTCAGCTTACATCTCCCAGGTCACAGTTCATCAGGGAGCCCAAGGTAGGAACTCAGGGCAGGAACCTGGAGGCAGGAGCTGGAGCACAGGCCATGGAAGAATGCTGCTTACTGGCTTGCTCCCCTGGCTCCTGGTCAGCCTGTTTTCTTATGCAACACAGGCCCACCTGCCCAGGGGTGGCACCACCCACAGTGGGCTGGGTCCTCCCACATCACTTACCAAGAAGATGCCCCTCAGACATGGCCATAGGCCAGTCCCATAGAAGCAATTCCCCAACTGAGGCTCCCTCAACCCAGGTGTGTCAAGTTGACACTAAAGCTATCCAGCACAGCTACGAGTGAGACTGAAAAAAACAGAAAAGAAGAGAAAAAAAGAACCATTAGAATCTAGTAAAAGTCAATTGTCATTCCTCACATCCTCATATCTGAAATCCCAGCACTAGACTTGGAGTTCAAGACCCCCTAAAGGATATAATGAATTCAAGGCCAGTCACTTCATACCCACTAAGCTGACTATAATCCAAAATATTTAAAAAAGATTGTTTGGGAGGATGTGGAGAAACTGGAACCTTTATACCTTGGTAGTGTGACTATAAATGGTGCGACTTCTTTGGAAAACAGTACAGAATTGCCACAAATTATTAAACATCGCATCTCCATATGATGTGTATGTGGATACATATACAAGGTAATTGAAAAACGTATGTCTACATGATTACATGTGAATATTTGTTTATATTGGCATTGGCTAAGAAAACACAAAAGAGGAAATAACCAAAATAGTCATTAACTGATAAAGGAATAATCAAGATGCAGTAAATTCCTTCAGTGAACTATGTCAGACATCCAAAGGCACACATATTTTTTTGCTTTTTGAGACAGGGTCTCATTGTGTATCCCTGGTTGCCTGGAGTTCCCTATGTAGACCAAACTGGCCTTGAACTCAGAGATCTGCTTGCCTCTGCCCCCCAAGTGCTGGGATTAAAGGTATACACCACCACGATGGACCAAAGGCACACAATTTGTATCTATGCTACAAAAAATGGTAAGCCTTCCAGTCTGGCATGATAATGCAGGTTCCTAATCTCTGCGCTTGGGAAGCTGAAGCAGGAAGATGGGGAGCTGAAAAGTGCCTAGGCTACACCAGTGTCTCAAAAAAAAAAAAAAAAAGTTAATGACCGATTTGCTGACAAGAGAGCTGTACTTGCAAGGCACAGCCTCTGAACAAAGCCAAACCTGTATGTAACGTTTTGGCCTTGCAGAATTCGTAGTCTTTCAAGAAGTTGGATTATTCAGTAATTAACAGACTCCTAGCTGTGTTTCCTAGAACAAAGAGGCTGAGAAAAAGCTCTTTAAGAAGCCCCTTCTTTGTGTAAGGCAGTCTCTGATTGGCTATTGTCTAGAAACCTAGAGCTGTCAATGATTGGCTGGCTTTCAGAAGGGAGCAACCTGTCATTGATATATTTTCAGAAACTGTTGGTGACTGGTTGATTTGGAAGCATAATCCCCTGAAGTGAGGTTGTTTCTCCTTGGTTGATTTTCAGAGCCTGTCTGGGTTACCTCTCAATAATGGTTACAAGGACACCGCTTGGGACTCCAGGCAAAAGTCTTTTCCTTTCTTGAATATATGTAAATACAAAGCACTTTTAATTCCTACTCCCTTCTTTTCGTCTTCTTTTAGGTAAACCTTCAAGAGATAACTTGGGGATTGTTTAAATCTTTGCGTGGAAAGAGGAATTTTCAGCCAGCATTATTTATAAACGAGTCAAACACCTATCATTTTGACAGAAAAACGGCTCTAGGTTGTTGTAACTGTGCAAAGATGAATTTAGGACACAATACATTCTGACAAGGTCAAAATGCGGTGTAGGATGTAATCATTAAATATGCCCTGTATATACAGGACGTCTGGCAAGGCTATCAATGAAATATTTTCTTCACTTTACACAGGAAGGGACTGGGACTCTGAGATTTTCCAGTCCATGGCCCGTAGCTGGAAAACTTTCCTACCGGGATCTGCACAGCAAAGGGCAGGGGTCCCCAGGCATACTGTGAACCCTCTGATGCCATGCCCTGAACAGGACGTGCGGACATCGCTAACCCGAGGCCTGCTAAGAAGGGTAGGTGCTCAAATGAATTCTCAGGCGAGGAGACAGCAGCCAGGCACCGGTCCTGAAGACCCGGGAATTAACCAGGCTACAGGCGCTGTGCTCTGGTCCCGCTACCGCGGTAGAAGGCTCCACAAGAGGCCTGAGTCGCGAGGTCGAGCGAGAAGCCGAAGTGGATGAGGCTCCGCCCCTGGCGCTTTCGCGTGTGTAGCTAGGGACCCCACAGCCGGTCGGGCCTTAAACAGCAGGGCGGCGCCCTGGTTACGGGGGAATTCCCTGTCCGGGTCCGCAGCCGTCCGCCCGCCACGCAATCCGGGTCGCCTCCGGTCCCTTGCTCGCCGCCCCGCCCGTCGTGCTCACGCACGCCGCCCCGCCCACCGGCACGCCCTCGCCCCGCCCCGCCGCGCCGGCCTGCAGAAGCCCGCCGGTCTCTGTGACTCGCCCCCGGCCCTGTGCTGCTTCGCCGCCCGCCGCCATGGACTCATACGCCCCGCATCCGCTGGGGCTGCCCCGCGCGCGCCTCTCCGGCAGCTCCGGCCGTGGGTTGGCCTCTGTCAGGTACGCGAGCCGTGGCCGCCTATGCGGCCGGGCGGGATGAGGGCAGTCTGGGCGACGCCTCCGGCCGCAGGGCGTGGTCGGACATGGCTTCCCAGCACGGGATTCTTTAAAACGGTTCCTAGGAGGACGTTTCCCGCGGACAGCGGTCTTCTGGGGGCGGGGGCTCTTGAGTGGACAACCCCACAGCGGTTCTCTGTGGAGACCCTATTGTCACGCCCCCACCCGTGGACCGATTTCCCCGGGGAAGTCTCCCCACAGACCGCCCCAGGGTGGCCGGCTCCCCAGCCGGTTCCGCTCCTCCAGCACAGGGGCTCCGCTCCGGAGCTGCTGCCCTGCGAGTCCCGCGGTGTAGGTGTCTGCAGCCTTGGCCCTTGACAGCAGCTCAGCTGCGTGGTACCCCGCCCTCTGCTAGTCCGTTCACAGCATCTCCCCTTACCTTTCCCGTAGTGGGGACGTGAAGGTCATTGGGGGAGCCTGAGGAAAAACGAAATGGATGGATGGATAGAAAAGACTTCCAGAGCCCCTGAAAGGGGCGGACAACCAAATTCCCAGTAGAGCCCGCGGTATCCTCAATACCCCGAGGGGAGTTGCTGTTAGGGAGGGTCGCTCCTCTTCCATGCTGATGATCCGTTTCCCATTTCTGCCCCATTTGGAGGCCTGACATTGACAGACTGGGCATTGTTCTTTAGGGAGCGAGTATGGGCCACCAACGAAATGTGGAGGTCGGAATGATGGAGGGGTTGCAGCAAAATACCTTTGAGAAAGGGAGGGGGAAAGAATCACCTGGGCATTGTTTCTGCTAAACTGTCATTAAACCAGAAGAGGATTTGTTTGTTGAATTTTTTTCTTTTTCTTTTGTTAATTTCATTTTTATGTGCATTAGTGTATTGCCTGCATGTATATAAGTACACACATGTTGTGCAATGCCCGCGGAAATCAGAAGAGGGCGTCGAATTCTCCTAGAACTGGAGTTAGCCGCCTTGTGGGTGCTGGGAACTGGAACCCCGGTCCTCTGCAAGAGCAGGCTGTGTTCTTAACCGCTGACGCCATCTTTCCAGCCCCTGAATTGCTTTTTTTTTTTTTTTTTTTTTGACTGTAGCCAGTTGGCAAAACAAATATGGTATTGTTCCCTTGAAGGGGCTTTTTCTATATTATTTTGTTATTATTTTTTTATTTTTATTTTATGTGTATGAGTGGTGTGCTGGATAGCTTTAGTGTCAACTTGACACACCTGGGTTGAGGGAGCTTCAGTTGGGGAATTGCCTCTATTGGACTGGCCAGTGGCCATGTCTGAGGGGCATCTTCTTGATGAGTGATGTGGGAGGGCCCAGCCCACTGTGGGTGGTGCCACCCCTGGGCAGATGGGCCTGTGTTGCATAAGAAAGCGGGCTGAGCAGGGGCCAGGGGAGCAAGCCAGTAAGCAGTGTTCCTCCATAGCTTGTGCTCCAGTTCCTGCCTCCAGGTTCCTACCTTGAGTTCCTACCTTGGGCTCCTGGATGACCTGTGACCTGGGAGATGTAAGCTACATAAACCCTTTCCTCCCCAAGTTGGTAGTGGTCAGAGTATTTTGTCACAGCAATGAAGAACAAACTAGGACAAGTGGTAAATACACCAGTGGAATTACAGATGGTTGTTAGCTGCCATGTGGGTGCTGGGAACAGAACCTGGGTGCTTTATAAGAGCAGCCATTTCTCTTAACCACTGAGCCATTTGTCCACCCCCCTCATTTTGGTATTTGGTATTTTAACTTTTTCTCTTTCTCTCCCTCTCTTTCTCTCTCTCTCTCTCTTTCTCTTTCTCTCTCTCTCTCTTGTTTCCCTGAAGTTGGAGGTCAATTCTCAGGGCCTTGCACATGCTAGGCAAATATTATACCACCCCAGCCTTTGTTTATGTGGGGCTTTGTTGTTGGCTTTGATTTGCCAATGTGTCTTTTGGGGTTGTTTTAACTCGATCAGATTCATGATGAGCAAGAACTAATTCTTAATTTTTACTATTTTTATTTTATGTACTTTGGCTGCATGTATGTTAAGTACATCTGTCTTGTGCAATGCCCATGGAGGTAAGAAGAGGACATCGGATCCCCTGGAACTTGATTTACAGGCAGTTGTTAGCCACCATATGGATTCTGGGGAACCAAACCCTGGTCCTCTGGGAGAACTGCCAGTGCTCTTAACCACTGAGCCATCCCTCTAGCCTTAATTCTTAATTTTAAAATTACATTTATATATGTATTTGTGTGTGGATGTCTGCGTGCCTGCCATGGCACAAGTGTGAAGGTCACAGGACAACTTGGAGGAGTCCATTCTCACCTTTCATTATGGGGTCTTGGGAACTGAACTCAGGTTGTCAGGCTTGGCAGCAAGTACCTTTACTGGTTGAGCCATCCCATTGGTCCAAGAACTAATTATTCTCTTTCATTTCCCAGCATTCTTTCCCACACTCTGGCAGCTAATAATATGTTTATTGAATGAATAAAAGATGAGAGATTGAGGCTGGAGAGATGACTCAGCAGTTAAGAGCACTGGCTGCTCTTGGAGAAGACTGGGGTTTGATTACCAGCACCCACCTGGCAGCTGACAACTATCTGTAACTCCAGTTCCAGGAGAATACATAGCCACCTTCTGATCTCTTCTGATACAGGGGCACTTATATGTGGGTCTCTCCCTCCCCTCGGGTGTCGTTGGCCACAGATCCACGAGGACAAAAGGAGCAAAAGCGACAAACGGGGTCAGGACAGCCAGTGAGCACAATGGAAAAGACCTTCCTGGGAGTCAGATTTAGTGATACAGCTCCGTTTATTCAGTGGGGGTCAGCGAAAATACAGTGTGGAGGCAGCAGCCAAAGCTTCAGCTGATAGGTGCTCATAGTGTGCTTTATTTACATGTGGTAGGGGGATCCTATCATCTGGCTATAGGGAAATGCCTAATTATCATATAGAAAAAACCTGGGGGCAGTTTTATTGCAGGTAACTATGCCAAAGGTCATGTTCCATATAAGGTCAGGCATTCCGTGCTTGGTGGCACTTTCCAGGTAAGTCAGGGAGAGAGCAGGAGGCCCCCCGCTGAGAAAGGGAGTCCCTAAGAGCTATCCAGCCATGGTGGACTGCAACCTTAGCAGCAGGGTCCCCCAACACTTATATACAGTAAATACACTCATACACATAAAATAAAAATAGTAAATAAGCCGGGCATGGTGGCGCACGCCTGTAGTCCCAGCACTTGGGAGTCAGAGGCAGGCAGATCTCTGTGAGTTCAAGGCCAGCCTGGTTTACATAGTGAGTTCCAGGACAGCTGGGGCTACAGGGAGACCCTGCTTCAAAAAGACAAAAAAAAAAAATTGTAAATAAAATATTTTTTAAAAAAGATGAGTGATACAGTTAGATGGTAGGTAATGAAACTGTGTGTTTTTGGAGTCTTTATTACTTCTAATTTGAGGATGTATGAGTTCCTCTGCTCTGGTCTGGAATTCTTTCTGGGCTTTTCAATTTTCAGTGTTTAGCTGCTTGTGGAAACTGCGTCCAGTCTATCTCAGCACTTCTACCACTGCTTGAAAGTGTTTGAACTTTGTATGGAAATTGAACAAGGATACTTTAGAACTTGGTGTAGCCATCTGTTAAATCTAGGCTCTCTGTGGATATGGGGATAGGAATTTGTGTGTGTGTGTGTGTGTGTGTGTGTGTGAGAGAGAGAGAGAGACAGAGAGAGAGAGAGAGAGAGAGAGAATGCTGAGGTTGGAACTTGGGCCTTGCAAATGGTAGCAAAGTACCCTCGGAACTATATCCATAGCTCAAGCCCTGGAATCGAATATTAAAACAGTTTTTTTGTGGGCTGGAAAGATGACTCAGAGGTTAGGAGTACTGGCTGCTATTGCAGAAGTCCAGGATTCAGTTCCCAGCAGCAGCTAACAACTGTAACTCCAGTTCCAAGGACTCCGACGCCCTCTTCTGGCCTCTGAAAGCATTGCATGCATGTGACGCACATATATGCAAAACAGTCATACACATAAAATAAAAATAAAGTTTTTATTTACTTAACCAGGCAGAGGTCTGTGTATATGTGTCTGTATGTCACCACTTATATGTGGAGGTACAAGGACAACTTGTTTCTCCTTTTACCATGGAGGTCCCAAAGATCAAACAAGTCATCAGGCTTAAGGGCAAGTGCTTTCAAGACCTGCTGAACCATCTTGCTGGCCCTTGACTTGATTTTTTATTTATTTTTATTTAGTTATTTAGTCTTTTTTTTTTAGTGTGTATGAGTGTATTGCCTGCATGTATGTGAGTGCACCCCATGTCTTGCAATGCCGGGGAGGTCAGAAGAGGGCTTTGGAGTCCCCTGGAACTGGAGTTAAGGACAGTTTGTAGCTGCCATGTTGGTGCTAGGAATCGAACCCGGGTCCTCTGCAAGAGTAGTGAAGTGCTCTTAACCGCTGAGCCATCTCTCCAGCCCTGATTTGATTTTTTTTTTTTTGAGATGATTTTTTTTGAGAATTGTAGGGGGGAAAAAAGATCAACTTTACCATTAAGTACATCTCTAAAATAAATGCTACCTTCCTTGTTTCTCTCTCCTATGGTCTCACTGTATAGCCCTGGCTGGCCTAGAACTTACTGTGTAGACCAAATTGTCCTGGAACTGACAGAAAGCTGCCTGCCTCTGCTTCTAAGTGCTGGAATTAATGATGTGTGCCACCATGCCTGGCTTTACAGTCCTTGCTTCTAATAGCATGCCCAAATGCTTTTTATTTACTTTCTGAGTTTGTTATTATTTGAGACAGATTTCACTGTGTAGCCCTGACTGACCTAGAATTTGCTGGGTAGACCTGCTGACCTTGAACTTGTGGTGATTCTCCTGCCTCTACCTCTGCCTCTAGAGTGCTGGGATTACAGAAGTGTGCCATCACACCTGGCTTATTTACTTTTTTCTTTTTAAAAATGTATTGTTAGTAGTTTTGGTTGTTTTTTTTTTTTTTTTTGTGTGTGTGTGTGTGTGTGTGTGTGTGTG